TAAAAGCACAGTACAGTGCAGTAAAGCCCAGTGAGATCAGGGTAAAAGCACAGTACAGTGCAGTACAAATGTGGTGAACAGCTGTAGTCTAAGCCTCGTGTCCGTTCTCAAACTTAATGAGAATTAATCAGCCACATTCTTCACTGCACATGCTTGTGAACGAACAGCAGGTTGTTTGCCTGTAAGGCAACCTTTTTTTTCTTTGAGCTGGCTGAAGCGGTACGTCGGGATTTTTCTCCAGTGATTAATCAGAAACCAGATTCGAGCACTGTGAATAACGCTGACTCCTACACCACCCCCCCTCGGCCTCTAGCTTGCTTTTGTGCTGTAATGTTTACGACACACCGCCCGTGCCCTCCGCGTTGTAACTTACAGCAATAATCGTCACTTTCCGGCAGTGTGTCATTACGGCCAAGTTCAGTTACGGCAGTGTGGCACGTTCGTTTTCCTTCTCCGCGTCCTTGTAAGAAGAAGCGAGCAAGAGCTTTATGCCAAAATAAAGTATTAAGCCACAAAGACGATTTTTTATTTAAAAGGAAATCTGTCAGATGAGCTTGTTTGACTTGTTTCGCGGTTTTTTCGGGTTCCCGAGAGGCAGTTACCCCGGAGATAGACGGAGGTGAGTTAGTATCGCAGTTGTCAAACAGATGTTTACCCTGTTTTGAAAATGCTTTACTTTTGAAGTGTTATTTTTAATATTTTAAAAACGGCCTGGAAAGGTGCTTTTAAGGGAAACCACGGCTGGAAATACCGGTTATCTAAAGTTACAAATTCCGACGTGAACTAATACACGACATTTTGTTGGTTATATCTCGGTGCGTCATCAAGACCCTAATACTGGTAATTCCGTCGTTACTGACGAGGATGACTCTTAAAGTATTTCTCATGTTGTGTACGTCTAGTGTTCTGGAACTGGACTTAATTATGTAGCACAAATAACTTTGAGACTGCCGAGAACAATTCCGCTCTGAAGTATCGGAAGGGAATAACTACATAACTGAGTAATTCACTCGTCACTTGAGCAAGTCCATTAGAGACTGAGCACCCCACGAGCTGTTAGCCGTTTGCTTATTAGGTTTTAGTTGACGTCTAACATTTCAGTTACTCAGAAACCACGATGGAGCCGCTTTGAAGAAAGCTTTTTTGCATTTTTTAAATTATTTTCCATTGTTTTTTTTTAAATATTTGCTTGCTTGTTGCTTCTTGTTGATGTTTTACTACGTTAACACACCGGTAAAGTTTCCGCCACTAGAGGGCGCCCGGCCTCTTTTCTCTTCTCTCCTCCTCCTCCTCCTCTCCCCACCTCTGTTGCTGTCTCCCTCTTCCTTGTTTCCTGTCCTTTCACATTTTTCTCCATCCATTTTCTAAACGATTAATCCAGGACAGGGAGGGTCACAGGGGAGCTGGAGTCTATCCTAGCAAGCAAAGGGCACGAGGCGGGGTACACCCTGGACAGGACACCAGTCCATCGCCGGGCACATAGACACACACACCCTGGACAAGACACCAGTCCATCGCCGGGCACACAGACACACACACCCTGGACAGGACACCAGTCCATCGCCGGGCACACAGACACACACACCCTGGACAGGACACCAGTCCATCGCAGGACACACAGACATACACACACACACGCCCTGGACAGGACACCAGTCCATCACAGGACACACGGACGCACACAAACCCTGGACGGGATGCCAGTCCATCGCAGGACACACAGACACACACACCCTGGACAGGACACCAGTCCATCGCAGGACACACAGACTCTCACACTGACACCAGGGCTGATTTGCCTCAGAGCCCAGCAGCATGTCTTTAGACTGCGAGAGGAAGCGTAGCACCTGGAGGAAACCCATATGAGCCTCCAGAGAGAGCATGCAGACTCCACACAGACAGTGCCCCGGGTTCGGGGTTGACCACTGGGAGCCACCGTGCCGCCCCTTTCGCCTTCCCGGTGTAAACTCCGTGCTCTCGCTATCCCACAATCCCTCCACACGCCGGCGCTGATCTCTCTGTCAACCCCCCCCCCCTCCTCTGGCGCTCCAGGGACCCGTTCTTCGAGGGCATGACGCGAGATGATGACGATGACGACGACGACGACGAGGGAGAAGACGAGGAGGCGCTGCGGTTCGGGTTCAGCTTCGGCCCCGGCGGGATGCACTTCGAGGAGCCGGCGGCGTTCCGGGAGCTGTTCCGCGAGGTGGAGGAGCTGCTGGCCGGCGTGGGCCGCTGGGACGGCCTGCCCAGCTCCACCCCCTTCGGTGAGCCGCCTGGCGACGCCCCTTCGGGTGGGGGTGGCGTGCTGCAGTCCTTAAAGACGTGAATACCCAGGGTTCAGTTCCTGGAGTACTGTCTGGGAGGAGTTTGCATGTTCTCCCTGATTTTGTGAGTGTGTTTCTTACCACAGTCCAACCGCCCAATAGAAGGTTAATTGGCTTCTGAGGAACATGGCGTTGGTGTGAGTGTCTGTGTCTGTCTATGCTCTGATGGACTGGTGTCCTGTCCAGGGTCTGTGTGCCCTCTGATTGACTGGTGTCCTGTCCAAGGTGTGGCTGTGTGTCCGTCAATGGACTGGTGTCCTGTCCAGTGCGTGTGCGTATCCATCTGTCCGTCCATCCGTCCGTCCTGATGGACTGCTGTGCTGTCCAGGGTGTGTGTGTGTGTGTGTGTGTGTGTGTGTGTGTGTGTGTGTGTGTGTGTCTGAGTCTGATAGACTGGTGTCCTGTCCAGGGTGTAGCTTGCCTTGCCTGTTGCTTGCTGGGATAGGCTCCAGCTCCCCCATGATCCTGAATTGGTTTAAGTGTTTAGAAAATGGATGGATGAGGAACCAGTGGATAGGTGTGCTTAAGCGTGTGTGGATGTGGTCATGCGTGTGCGTGTGATGTGTTGGTTCCTAGCACACTGCACCCTGTACTGTACTGTGTTCCTGTACAGTGCAGGTGTCTTCTGTTCCCTCCTGCTGCCTGGATGTGTCCTGTTAGTTCCCCACCGGATCCTCATGCTCTCTCCCCTCTCTGCTCCCCAGCGATCCCCAGTATTGAGGCGCCGGGGCGGCAGGAGCGCGGCAGGTCTCCGAGGGACTTCATGCTGAGACACCCCGACAGCACCCCGTCCTCTGACCAGGGGGACAGGGAGCCCCCCTCAGGGCCCTTCTCCAAGGTGAGAGCCCTTCTTCAGGAGGGTGTTGACCGCCCTGGCTCTGTGTCCGCTGCCCCTGTGCTGTCCTACTGTATTCCACTCCCTCCCTGTCACTGCGCAATTCTGCTGTCTCCTCTCAGTGCGTGTGTCTTTTCTGGGAAGCCACTTTTAAAGGTGCTTTAGAAAATAATAATAATAATAATAACCTCAATAATAATGATAATGATAATAAGCCTCCCTCCTCTTCCTCTCCCAGTTCGATGACGTCTGGCGGGGGGGCCTGTGGAGGGCGGAAGAGGGGGAGCCCCTGAAGCAGGACGGAGGTAAGAGACCTTGAGGGGTGTGGTGTGGTGGGGTGGGGGGGCCCCTGAGACCCTCAGCCCCACGAGGCCTGTGGGTGTTGCCAGTTCTAACCCAGGTCTCGGGTGTCGCAGTGGGAGAGCGGTCGGGATTCGTTACACTTGTCTCCTCCTCTCTTGGTTTTTCGGGGGGGGGGGGACTGCAGCCCCTCGCAGTGACATCATCCCACAGGACGGGTCTGGGGCAGCTGCTAACCCCAGCTGGGGGCAAGAAAGAAAAATGACCACCGGCCCTCTCCCATTTCGTCCCCCGTTCAGCTCCTGGCCACAGCCGCCTGTTGTCGGGGTGGGTCGGGCCTGGGTCAGGCCTGAGCCGGGCCACAGGAGAAGCGGCGCCGCCCGTGTGACACGAGGCACCTCTCAGCCTTCACTCATCCTCTTCTCCCTCGCTCCCTCCCTCTCCCACTCTTCTCCCTCGCTCCCTCTCCCTCTTCTCCCTGACTCTCTCCCTCTCCCTGCAGATCTGGACTCCCAGGTTTCCTCGGAGGGGCTGGAGAAGATCCTGACTCCCGCGCAGCCCAGGGCTAAGTCCAAGTCCTTCTTCAAGTCCGTCACTGTCACCAAAGTGGTGTCCCCCGACGGGGTAGGGCAGGCGATCTGTTTCAGTCTTGTATAGCGCCTTTCACCCCAGAGCGTCTCGAACCCAGCCCTAGCTGTGCCCCCTCTGTCTGAGAGACCTCCCCGCTTCTGTCTTTAGTAACTGTGCAGCACGTACAGCTGCTCTTTCAAGGAAAGAGCCCGTCCCTGTCTTGTCACTGCTGCTGTCTTTATTAATATAGTCCGTTATTTATATATTATATCATATACAGTACACTATTAATGTATTGATATAGTATAGTGTGAACAGGACATTATTAATGTATTATATTGTATACAGTACACTATTAATGTATTGATGTTCTATATTGTGAACAGTACATTATTAATGTATTGATATAGTATATTGTGATGAGTACATTATTAATGTATTATATTGTAACAAGTACACTATTAATGTATTGATATAGTATATTGTGAACAGTACATTATTAATATATTATATTGTATACAGTACATTATTAATGTATCGATATAGTATATTGTGATGAGTACATTATTAATATATTATATTGTAACAAGTACACTATTAATGTATTGATATAGTATATTGTAAACAGTACATTATTAATATAGTATATTGATGGACTGTATCTGTATGTGTCTGCAGACCGTGGAGGAGAGGCGCACAGTGAGGGACAGCCAGGGCAATGAGGAGACTACAGTGACCCGCTCCGGCCCGGCAGACAGGAGCCCCCAGATCCAGCAGGGACCCCCAGAGCCCGGTCAGTGATCCCCCCCACCGCCACCCCTCCCTGGGTAGCTGCCGATGCAGTGGTGTGGGATGTTGGGGGGCGGGGGACGTGGCCCGCCCCTGCCCCTGCCCCTGCCCCTGCCCCTGCCCCTGCCCCGGCCTGCTGTCCTCTCTGGGGCAGCGATGTGGGGTTGCCGTGCAGCTGTGGCTGTCAAGAGGATGAGCTTGTGGTGCCATAGTGGTGCCTTGAGTAGGATTCAGTGAGCCCCAGGGACAGCAACAGAGGAAAGGGGGAGTGTTCACTAGGATGCACCAGGGCAGAAACGGCGGTGTTGGGTTTGGCCTGCACAGGGGCGGTCAGCCTCCCAGTCTGATCGCACTGTTTCCATTTTCAGCGCCCGGATTAATTGGTACCAGACTCACAGGCTCGTCTGTCCGGGCTGGTGGGTCTGGGTGTTTTTCTCCTGTGTTGCCTGATCCCGCCTGTCCTCTGTTCTGTGCAGGCGTGTCCCCGGGCTCCTCAGGAATGCAGGATGATGCCTCCATCTTCTCCCGGTTCTTCGGGGGATTCCGGGATCGGTAGGAGGCCGCCACCATCCGGAAGAGGGCAGGAGGAGGCAGGAGCTCGGGTCGGTTCGAGCTTTTCCGCTGGAAACGTGCTCTGGACTCTTCACAGTTTTCCCTTTCCCCAGCGTGTGTGACGACATGGGGAGCTGGGATTGGACTTGGGAATTAATTAAAAATAAGGCAACTGGAAACTGAAAATACTCCTGGCTCGGCCCTTCTAGCCTCTGACGGCATCGACCAGTTGTGATTTTATTTTGACATGCGTGCCAATTAACACACCTGCAGTGGGGTGATCACTCTCTTCCTCTCTCATTCGGACACACCTGGGGGTTTGAAAGAAGAAGAAACAGATTGATTCCTTCTTTTCGGGATAGCTTGTACAGAAATCGCAGAATAGCAGTAACTTCTTTTGTTGAAGTGATTTTGTGCATCAGGGATGATGTCTGGAAAGTCCATTAAAAGTGGCTTCTAGTGCAAGAGAAAGGCGTGAGTTTTCATTTTATAATCCCCGTCTCTGACCTGGCTTCATCACTCTGCTCTCCTCTCCACTGAAAGCTGGTGTGTGAGGAGAGTACTGGTGCATCATCCAGGTGGGGCTGCACACTGGTGGTGGTGGAGGGGACCCCATTACCTGTACAGCGTTGTGAGTGGAGTGTCCAGAAAAGTGCTAAATAAAGTGCAAGGAACTATTATTGATGAAGGATCTTATTATTGCTTGCCATTTTGTTCCTATAATAATAATAATAATAATAATAATTCCTTACACTTATATAGTGCTTTTCTGGACACTCCACTCAAAGCCCTTTACAGGTAATGGGGATCCCCTCCACCACCACCAATGTGCAGCCCCACCTGGATGATGCGACAGCAGCCATAGTGCGCCAGAACACTCACCACACATCAGCTCTCAGTGGGGAGGAGAGTAATGAAGCCAATTCATAGATTTGTCTATATAATACAAATCTGTTTATATATAATAAAATATCTAATTTGTCCTGTGTGTATATAATCTTGTATCCTTCCGACTAAGGTCTTTTTAATGTTTGGGACGCCGTTATTTAAGTTGTCAAGAAAGACATAACACGGCCTGGATGGAGGACCTCAGTGAGCACAGGACCAGGCTGCACTGTGAACATCTGGAAGAGGGAGGGGGAACTAGCTGCACAGGTTCAAGAGGAGGACACCAAGGTCATCATCCCTGGGTCCTGGGGTTGCCAGAGGAACCTCCTTCACCCGTCATTAAGTTCCTGCGATGAAGATGAGGAGGACTGGAGGGAAGGTGAAGGTGCTGTGGGATGTGGTATGAAGCAGGTGTGGTCGTATTCGTCTTTGGGGCTCTCCTGACTTCGTCTCCAGACGTTCCTCTCAGCTCGGTGGGACTCGAGTGCAGGTCTTCTTCAGGAACCTCATTCACGTCTAGCTCATGAGTCGGGGAGACAGATCTGCATGTCCCTGCCAAAGGAACTCTGCAGGTACAAAACTGTCACATCATAAAAGATCTTCCAGTGGCTAATCTTAACTCATTCAAAATTCTTCCTGTTTAACATTGCCACCGATTTCTTGTTCTGTCGAGAGTACTTCTGAAAGATTTGTGTTCTTGTTTCCTGACTCCTCTGAACCTGTCTTTCACTGGCTGTGAATTTTGAAAGTAAATCTCTTTAGACACAGATGTCTGGGTCAATGAGTTCTTGTCTCTCCCACTAATGAGCCCCTATTCACCCCTGTGACTTACCTGCATGTTCCAGTGCCTGTGATATTAGTAGTAGAGGAGTTTATTGTCATATGTCGGTATACAATGGAATTCTTATTTGCACTGCAGCTGTCAACAGAACAGTACATTACAACCATAATACATAATACCAAAAGGAACCATAAATATGTTGTGGGAAAATAAATATGTAGTAGTGAGAACAAAAACATGGTAGACCATGCCAAAAGTGTGTAGTGCAGATGTGTATTGAGTCTGAGGCTTTGCAGTTAGCTGTTGAGGATGATGACCTCCCTCCCTCTTCAGCAGATTTTACCACAAACTTGGAGCACCTCTAGGATGGTGACTTTTCTTCAGACAGTGAGATGTTGACTTCAACCACTGCTAAGACAGGGAAACCATGTGTCAGTATCTCCCACCCACATTGTAATTTTATCTCCAGATTAAGCCTTCCTGGGGTTTCAGGAATTTGGTTTTGTTAGACAGCAGAAGTTCCTGTGAGAAATGGTAAGCTCTGAGTCAAGTCAAGAGGAACAGAAATTCACCAACACACCTGTCTGGACTGGGGACACAGCTGTCCCTCTCCTCTCACACTGCCCCTGAATTCACACACTGACACACACCTGTCTGGACTGGAGACACTGCTGTCCCTCTCCTCTCACACTGACACCCCCCTGACTGGACTGGAGACACTGCTGTCCCTCTCCTCTCACACTGCCCCTGAATTCACACACTGACACACCCCTGACTGGACTGGAGACACTGCTAGAGACACTTCTGTCCATCTCCTCTCACACTGCCCCTGAATTCACACACTATAGGGAGAAGCTGACCAGCGATGTTATTGATGCCAATACCCTGTTTATTTTCAAGAAACATCTGGATGAGATCTTTGTTATGCTGCGGTCCCTGATGTTTCGGGGCTGTGGCGAATGAGAAGCCAAGCTCCAAGCACAGGTTCACAGAGGAGCCTTGGGAATCTTTGGGAAGGCTCGATGGGAGTGAGGCTTAATGAGAGATGAAGTAATAATGCAGGCTGATTGGAAGTGTAGCAGGAAGAAAGGCTGCCTCAATGCAGCAGAGAGGCTGGCTTAGATATGGCTGTCTGAGATGATGCAAGGGCTTCCTGTAGAAAGACACTGTCTGGCATAGCTGCGGAGAAGAATGGGAAGTCTTAGCTTTGGAGGAGACATTGCAGAAAGATCCCTTTGAATTCCTTGCTCATGATTGAAGGGGGAAAACAATACAATTATCAGGTGTGCATTTCAGTACAGCAAAGGTTAGCACTGAGTGCTTAGCTCAGTGTCGGAGCACTGAATAAGCGGGGAAAACAGCCTTAAATATTCTGCTCAATTGCCTGATTGAGTTGGGGAGGGTCTGCCTGATTGATAAATTAGTGGCCTCTGGGAGATGCGTCAGAGTGAGTTCACATGGGGTCAGAAATAGGGTGAAAGCCCATGTGAATGTGCTGGTTACCTGGAGCAAGATCGGGACACGAGCTGCTCCCAGCCCAAGAGTATCAATCCGGGGATTAGTTCATTTCATGTCAAAGTTCAAAACAAGCTGGACAGGCCGAACAACCTGCTGTCATTTGTGACATTTCTGATCCCAAGTGAGGTCCTTACTGTGAATCTTTATTAGTCGTGTGGTTACATTGCAAGAAGTTAGAGACATGACACAGAGTGCAGTGTCCCACTGAGCAAATACAAGACCATGAGAAATGAGAGACAACACACAGACGGTCCTGGTCTTATCTGGGTCAAACAGGCATTGGTTTCATTTATTCTTAATTGCAGATATCCCACAATTACAAGTATCCCACTTCAAATGCATCAACATGGTGTGAGGAGGCCAAAGCAATTTAAGTAAAGGCCAAAATGCTTTGTCAAAGATGTGTTTGTGAGGTCATCTAAACCTGCAGTTTGAACCCTGATCAAACCTTGGTCTGTTCCACCTTTCCACGTTGGCAAGGAGAAGGATGCTTTAATGGTAAATATTTTTTTTCATCCTGTACAAACATTACAGGAAAGCAATCAGGAAGATGTTCCAGCATTTTCTCCACCTTATCTTTGGCTTTTATGATTTTGTTGTTTTTTTCCTTTATTTCTTTGCCCTGTCCTTTTACCCAGTCTTTCTTGGCCTCATTATCTACATAGATCTCATGAGTGCACATGAGGTGCGCTATTCTACGAATGTCTTGTTTACGTGGAGGAGTGGTAGTATAATCTTTTAACGCTTTCAAATATCTTCCGAAAATAACAGAATTGGCGTTTGTGTACTGGTGTTCTTTATCCTCTGCTTTGACTTTCATTTGGTCAATTTCCTCATCAAGAGTTACCAGTTCGTCTTTATCATAACAGCCTGGGTGTTCTTCATTTATATTCCTAAAGAATTTGATGATCCCTTTGTTAATGACATGTTCCCCCTGCTTATGTTCACCTGATTGAAAATCAATTTCCATTTTGTCAAAATCATCCATAATGTCTGTCATCTTCTTCTTGGCATCTTCCCGTATCTCATCTAGGTATGAGTTGGAACTGGCACTGGCTGTAGCCTGACTGTTTTCTTGGCCCGGCTTCTTGGAAGATCTGTTTTTATTGGGCATTCGTTTAGTGGGCACTCTTCCAGGTGTCTCCAAGATCCCTGCATCTGAAATCTCACTTAGCCCCAGGGTGCCTGTGAGGAAGTAATTACCACAAACAATGTGTGTTCTTGTTTTGGAGGGACAACATTTGTTTCATTTAAAAAATAAATTATTTTTGATTGGTACTTCACTTGGTTGTTCAAACATTTCTGCAGGAAATACTTTATTAACAACAGAATCTATTGTACATTACAAAGGGAAATATCTGTGAAGTATATATTAAGAAGACCACCAGGGAGCCTGATTTGGGTATGCAAAATCCTCAAAGGCCACTGACAAAATGAACAGTGGATTTTGTTAGAATGAACAATGGAACAAGATGCAACTGGAAACAACATGGAAGTGCATTTAAAAGTGAGAGCAGGAGGCACTTCTTTACACTAAGTGTGGTAGGAGTGTGGAACAAGCTACCCAGCCATGCTGTTGAGGCATATGAGATGCTTGGATCAATCATCTACTAACATCCAAATGGGAGGGATGGGCGGAATGGCTGCGGTGGTTTACGAGCTTTCTGATGCTCTTGAGAACCTTTTACATTTTTCAGAAGACAGGTCTAAGCACCTGCAGAAAACTAGCATTAGTCCTACTGACTGACCTGTGTCAATAGCTTCCATCTTAGAAACGCCTCTGGATGGAGTTTCGTGGTCAAAGATGGAGTCGCTGTCGTGCAGATCTTCCCTGGCCATGGTGGCAGCTGGCTGCAGTCCTGCCAGCGCTATGGAGAGGATGGCAAGCTGGGGGAAGGAGAGAGAATGGAGAAACAGCTAGGTGAGATGGCGGGGACGCAGCTTGAATTGCCTTCAGACCGAGGGTGATTATGTGAGTCGGAAGGGACTGTGCGCTTTTAAGGGGTGTAGGCGGATTTGTTTTTAAGATCAGAAACAACAGTTGCTTTGGAGTAATGGCTCCCAGTCCTGGTGTTGGTGACCCTCTCACCTGCTGGGTTTCATTCCTCCACACTTTCATTAGAAAACTGAAGCCTTACTTGATCTGTGAAGTTGCTCTGTTGGAATACTTGCATTCTGCTTCTAATCACAAGTTTGAGGCTTTATTTCACTTACAAGCCACAAACGGTTCAAGCTACAACACGTGTAAGAGCTGGGGACACACAACTCACACTGATCTTAGTCC